TCCTAATTTTGATATTGTACTGGAGTCATGCAAGATGTTACCAAGAGGGAAAGTGGCTGAAGGGTACAGGGGACTTCCCTGGATTTTGCAACAACTTGTGATTCTTTAATTATTTCAAAATGAAAAGTAAAAAAACAAAACAAAACAAAACTATGCCCACAAATAATCCCTTGGGTGCCTTGAAAAACCAACCAACTAACCAACATGACACTGCAGCTCCTTATAGAAAAGTTAGGACAAGAGACCAAGAGTCTTGGTTGGGTTTGGCCCTGGGCCCCTTGGTAATAACTGTTATGGGCTGAATCGTGTCCCCTCGAAATGAACACGTTAAAGCTCTAACCCTCAGAAGGTAACTGCACTGTTTTGGGGAACAGGGCCTGAAAGGGGTAAGGAAGGTGCAATGAGGTCATATGAGTAGGTCCTCATCCAGTTCAACTGGTGTCCTTCTAAGAATTACCAAAACATGGCACAGGAATCATAATTTTTCAGGGCAGGTCCAGAGGGCAGAACCAGCACCAGAACCAGCACCAGCCTGTGGCAAGCTGAAAGGAGACAGGTTTCTAACACAGCATAAAGCCAATTTCCTACTGGCCACCGTGGTTCAAAAATAAAATGACCAGCCACGTAAGGGTACAGTGTCCACAATTCACGGAACATACCAGCTGCCCCGGCCTCAGGAGCCTCAGCTCTGCCCTGTGCCCATCTCTCAAAGCACAGCCTCCTTCTAGAACCCTAACCCGACTGTTAGCCGGAGCCAGCCTCGCCTCTCCTTCCCACTCCCCCCTCTGTCTGGCTTTGACACCCACTCCCCATTCCAATAGTACCTGTCCCCCCAGATCTGAGACACCTGCTCCCTTCTCACCTTCCTGGCTCCTATAATTTTTACGTCCTGAAGTTTCAGGCTCTCCTGTGGCATGCCCTGACTCGCACTAACCCCTGGGCCACGGTCCCCTTTGCCCCACCCCAGCCTGGTGACAGGATCCAGATGCACCTGGAAAGAAACACCACAGCCCCATCCAGCTAAGCTACCTTAGGCAACTTATTTAACCTCCCAGAACCACAGCTTACCTGTCTGCCTCATGTATAACAGCACAGAATTAAAAATCCCGTGTCCAACAATAGAGTGCAATAAATACTGAGGTATATATTCACGAGGGAATGTTCAGTATGCAGTAATAATGTCACAGAAGAATATTTAGTGACACAGAGAAATGTTCATGAAATATTAAGAGAGAAATTAAGTTGTAAAGCACTGTTTATTATCAACGCTATTTTTTGCAGAAACTACCAGTGCACAAAAAAAGACAATCATAAAGCTAAGCATAATTATTTTCCAATGAGTCTTTCTTTATACTCCCCAAGTTGTCAACGGTGTTAATACTTTTTAACTAGAAATAAAGTTATTTTTAAAATCTTGAACACTCTCATCTTGGCTTATTCCTCCATAAAACAAAAAACAAAACAAAAGACAACCACCAACTGACACAGCAACCTAACAAAAGGACACGGTGATGCCCTGGCCGGGGGCTGGGTTGGTTGGAGCATCGCCCTGTGCACCGAACGGTTGCGGGTTCGATTCCCAGTCAGGGCACATAGCTAGGCTGCAGGTTCGATACCCAGTCAGGGTGGGTTCAGGAGGCAACTGATCGATGTTTCTCTCTCTCTCTCCCCCCACCAAAAAAATCAATAAACATACCCCTGGGTGATGCTTAGAAAGAAAAAAAAAGGCCACAGTGAGTCCCTGACATTAGCCACTTATTCTTGCCTATGATACAATGTGCTGTGTGTTTTGAACTTGGAGACGCAGGGCAGCTAAGAAAACTGGGCGAAGGGAAGGTCACCACTTGGATTAGTGCCATGAGTGGACCCCCAAAGGGTCAATTCTTGGACCCCATCGAGTGGCTCCAGTGCCACTCTGCCCGATCCGTCCCTCTAGGAAGACAGTGAGTGCCACGTGTCACCCCCGGGGTTGCTGTGTAGCCTCGCAGCCAGACGTGGCTCCACATTGTGCCGCAGTCAAAGGCCTGCCAGCAGAGCCGTGTCCCCATTCACTGGGCTTTGTCCCCTGGTAATGGGCTCCCTTGGCTGCCTCCCCAGGCTGGAACGAAGCGGCCGCAGAACAGAGCCAGCCAGAGAAGCCCCTTGTGAAGGCCCATCGAGGACTCGAGGAGCTTGGCAGGGGCTCGGCCACCAGAGGCCAAGGCAAACCCGAAGTCATGTCGGTGGAAAACGTCAGCTTGACTCAAGATGCCAGGCGTCACTGCCCCCTGCTTGCAGTGGGGCCGATGGCCCTGCCACAGACGTGCAGAGGGCACCCGTCTAGCGACCCACTCTGCGGGCAGCCCCGGGGCAGGTCTTGTCACCAGGGCCTTGCAGCCTGGGCACTGCACGGTTTCAGTCCCCTTTCCCGCTGACATCCACGGGGAAGGGTCAGCTGCGAACAAGCTGTGTGTGACACATGCAATATTTCTAATCCTTTCGATCTCCAAGCCACGCTCATTTTTCAGGCCTATGCCCAGATAGCTGGGCCGGGCCTCTCTACCCTGGCCAGCTTTCCAGGCGCCACACCCCAGAGGCACACTGCTGGCCCACCCCAATGGGTACAGTTTGGCCTGCAATCCCAGCACCAGTCCCTTCAGACTTTCCTCCTCTCTGCAGGGGGTTAAGAGGCCTTAATTTATATCGATCCTCTTCAGTGGGCTCCTCCAAATACTTCCCGAAGCAAATTTAGCGACTTCAGGAACTAGATCCCTCTTACAGCAGATAAATGCTAACAGTCTCACGGTCACTAACGCTTTTCTATGACCTGCGCCACAAATGAATGAACCAGCTACATCCTGCATATACTGCGGTCCTCTCAACTTGCTCCTGAAGAATTCAAAGCACACGCGAAATAAAAGGCCACCAGGGCACCTACTGAGGCCACCCGTGCAGGGGGCTTGCTCTCTGCCGGTCCCTGGAAACAAAGGCCCACGAAACCCGCAGGGAGACACTCGGAGGGTCCATCCCCATTTGTTTTGGAATTTGGCCAGATGGCCCAGAGCCACCAAGATGTCCATGCACCATGCAAACAGCAGATGCTCTCTGACTGCCTAACTACCGTAGAGGAAAAGGGCAGCCAAGCAGAAATTTGGCCAAAACCTTCATCCTGACAAAGGCTCACTGCAAATCCCACAGATAAAAGCTCAGAGCTGGACAAGGCCCCTCTGCCCACGCCTCCACCTCCCCCACCTGAAACCAAAATGCCTCCTCACCTTAAAGCTTTGCACACACCAACCAGGCCCCATCCAGGGCAGCGAGATACCAAAGCCCAATGCGTCCGGGGAGACTCCCCAAAAGAGGGCCAAGTCTGCAGCTCAGGGCACAGGCCCCGAGCAGATGCGATTTAGCAGCGCTGTGACTGAGAAGGGATTCCAGGGAGACATTTTTCTATTTAATCCCATCATCAGAGACAAGAACTCAGCCTTTCACTCTCCATTTCCTTCTCTGCACTCTGATTTATCTACTTGCTGTTCTCACCGCCAGAAAACCTCTCTCCCAGGGCCCTAGGGTGACATCCCTCAAGTCAGAGGCCAACTGTCCCGCTGGACCTCGGGAGGCGATTTCGGACACACGCTGTGGGCCCATGTCCTAGTCTGCCACAGAGTCGCACGGAGTGGCTTTTGCTCAAGCTTCAAAAGTAACAAAATGCAAATGATTTCCTTAGACCCCTCTCCCCAGCTTCACACACAATCATGGGAGCCCCTAGCTGCGTGGGGAGAGGGACTGGCCATCCCTGGCCTGAGCAGTCTTCCCTTCTCCTTTGCGCCCCATGGTTATTAGGTTGTGCCAGGCTCACAGGTGCCACCTTTCCCACCTTGGGCCCACCCACAGAGGGCTGACACGTACATCTGGGGCCTATTTGTTCACCCAAAGCATCTACTGCAAGGCTCGGACGAAAAGGCACCGAGGAAAATCAGCATTCAGGGATACAGCACTTCCAGGCCCCAGCATTCAGGGGTAAAGCACTTCCAGGCCCTCCTGGCTCAGAAAACTTGGGCAACGTACGCTGGAAGCTTGGCAGATAGGAAGCTTTGTGTCAAATTCTACGGTAACCCAACCTCCACGTTATAAGGACCTTTATATCTCAAGGCACACTGCTTTCTAGGAGGCACAAAGCTTCCACGGGTAGAGGTAAGTTTTTCAAAGCTCAGCGCTCAGCGGCTGGGAATGTGTCCTACCGTCCAACAGCTTGCGGGAAACGAAATTATACTCGGGAAACAAAAGACAGAGATGCTAGGGCAGGCCAGCCCTCGTCGTTCAAACGGCTTTGCAACAGGACCCAGAAGCAGTGACTGATGACCAGGGTGTCCGGGCCACCTTGCAAAGGGGACACTCTCGCTTCCTGTAAGAGCAATTCTCCACTCCTTAACCCCATATCTGCAAACGGATTCTATGCTTCCAGTCGAAAATATCAGAAATTCATCTAGCGCAAAATAATTTTTCAAAACTCACGCATACCTTATTTCCTCCAAAATGCCCAGTTCCAGCATATACTCCCATTACAGAAAAAAATGACTCCAAGTCACCAACTCCGGATGATACCAAGCCCAACTCTACCCTGGTGGCTAACGCCAGAGGGCCCAAAGTCCACATGCAGAAAAGAAAAGGGCAGACAAACCATAAAACTCCTCCTGCCCATATCTTCCCTCTGGAGGTCTCTCAACGCTCTAGCACAACAGAGCTCAGATTCTGCACAGTGCAACCCCCTGGGGAGCTTTTTAAAAACGCATCCCGCCCAGGTTGCACCCCATGCCAACCACGCCACATTTTCTGGGGGTGCCACTCAGACATCAGCTTTCAAAAATCCCTGAAGTTTTTGAAGCCAAGCCTGAGCACCAGTGCCCGGGCAAAATACAAAGCTCACAGGCCCCCCCTTTCCTTCCTTTCTCAACACGCCCAGATGGCCAGCAGCGCGCAAAGCAAGGAGAACCGCACCCCGGGCCCGGGGCTGCTCCTACCTATATAGAGCGAGGAGTCCTTCCTCCGCACGTGGTCGTCGATGTAGGAGACGCCCAGGGGCTGCACAGGGGTAGCACCGATGCCCAGGAGCACCTGGGCCCCGATCAGCAGCAGGTACATCATGTTGGTGGTGGTCCGGCTGCGGCAGATGAGGTCGGGGTCAGGCCCCTGGTCGCTGCCAGTGCCATTGGCGGCGCACACGTCGCGGCCCTCGGCGCCCCAGCGGATCTCGCCCGCCTCGTACTTGTACTGGTGGGTCAGGAACTCGGGCAACGCAGACAGCAGCGCCCCCAGGGCCATGACGATGCCCCCGCAGCCGATGAGGCGGGGCCGGTGCCCGCGCGCCCCGAAGTAGCTCACGAACAGGATGAGCGCCAGGTTCCCGATCTCAAAGCTGCTGGCGATCACACCCACGTCCGCGCTCTGCAGGTTGAACCTCCGCTCCAGGGTGGTCAGCACGCTCACCTGCAGGCGGCAAAACCAGAATCCCAGCGTCAATCCCGGTGGGCTTCAAGGGGGAAGCTCCCTTCCGGCCTCGTGGGGGCGCCGCCCGCCTAGGCCCCGCCTAGGCCCCCCCCACTTGGGGCCTTGTACCAGCTGCAAAACAGGCCCCTGTGCGGGGTGTTTTAAACCTGAAGAGTCCAGCGAACGTTACCTTAGTGTGGCAACCCTAATGACACGGTTCAAGAATGAACTTTCTCACTGGCAATGAAATTCTTCTGGGCCCCTTTCCATCCTGACAGGCTCTGCCTCTACTCAGGGAACACAATTTCCCCTACTCCATAGCAATTTAGAGCCCGTGCATCCTGTAAAAGTCCAGAAGCCCATGGTTTTTACAGGCTCCCAACCACAGCCTATTTACAAAGCCCCTTCTGAGGGAACACAGGAGCCAGGGGCTTCTCACCAGGAGGCTAGCAACCTAAATAAATAAGAAATAAATAAGTAAATAAACCTGGATGGCAAAATAGACAAGCTAGATGAGCTCCTTAGGATAATCATTAGCTCTTCACTCTCTTCTAGACATTTCCAAACGATGCAGGTGTCCCTAGAGGCTGCCAGGCAGATGCACCCTGACTGTCCCGGGCCCTATATCCCCACCACAGCCCCTCGGAAGGAACGGTTTCAGGCTTTCCCCATCTTTGCCTTACATTTGTCTTAACAAATATTTACTGAGTATCTGCCGTTGGCCCAATAATGCCCCAGTCACAAAAGATAGAAAAACAAGAGATGTCCCCTGGCCTCAGCATGCGGCCCAGCGGAAAGGCAACGCAGAGCAGCTGGATGTCACCCTCACGCTGCAAACACCCCACTAGGTGGAGAGGCTTCATGTTCAGGCTTCTTCCATGGAGAGGTCATGTAAATGGCCTTTCTCTCCTTTTGCTTGCAGGTTCCACACCAGGTCGTATAAGCAAGACAAGGGCTCCCGTCATGGGAGCTCTGACAGCCCCAGTCAGGGAGTGAAGAACTTGCTCGCCAAGGGACCACAGGGAGCAAAAGTCAGGCGGCGTGATTTAATAACGAAAGGGACACCAGTAGGCCAGGCGGGCTGGGGACAAATTATAAGGCGTCAGATAGATGCCTCCTAAAGAAATTAGACAATCCTGGGCAGATCACAGAAGGAGGGACGCCCGGTTTGAATCTCACCTACTCTTTCCTTTATTAGCTTTGTGACTTGCGTCAAGTTATTCAACCTGTTTGGTTTCTCTGAAATAAGAACAGCATCCCCCTACTAGGATGGATGGAAAGATTAGACACGATATGTGCCAAGTCCCTTCACACAGAGCAGCCCCTCGCTACCTGGCAGGGGAGCGCAGGGAGGCAGCAAAGCAGAGGCACGCAGGGCCGGGCTCGGGGGCCAGAAGGCCTGGGTGCACCCCGGCTCTGCGACAGGACACCCGGTGCTCTCACCTTCCCGAGTCTGTAAAATGTGGACACGAGTTCGACCTCTTAGGGCGGGGGGCAGGAGTAAAGATCATATGTGTGTAAGTGCTGGGTAAGCGCTCGCTACAACTATTCTCATTTATCTGCGGCCATCAAGGGACATCAAAGGTTTCTCAAGCCTAAGAGTGACCCCAGGGATGGCCACAGGATGGATGGCGAATGCTGGGGGAGTGGAGAAATGAAAGCGGGCAGAGGGAAAGGCTGGGCTATTATTAAAAGAGAGAGAGAGACGAGATCTGAGTCAATACAGTGGTAATAAAAATGAACAAAAAAATGGAGCATGGAAGAGCAGGATTATATTTTTGGGGAGGCTGGGCTGTCAGCTCATCAGGGGGGTGCTAAGGAACAAGGGAGGGTCCCATGGACCTAGCCTTCCTTCAAAGGTATAAATGTGCACAGTTGTGGACACCCATGAAACCACACCTCCCTGCAGGGCACAGGTGCCCCCCCACACACACACACTGTGCACGCCTGTGGTGCTCAGCACACCTCTGCTCCATCTGCCTTTATTACAAACAACAGGAGCCCAGTGATCCTCCTCAGCCTTACTTCCAACTCCGCACCTTCCAACAGGCTCCTCTAGCCCTGAGGCTCCCCACGCCCGAAAAATTTCACGTGGCTGGGCCCCCCCGGTTTCTCACCAACTGGTCTGGGAGAAGCCTGGGCCCCCGGATTTCGTGAAAGCCCCCAGGTGACTTTGTGGGGCGCACAGCACTGTGGTCAACCCCTCAGCGGAGCAGGGGTCCAGCACTGACACAGGCCCCCCCCTCCCCCGCCATGACCAACGACAGGACATCTGGGTACCCCTCTGTCACTTGTGCTCCAATTCTGATTCCCATTTCCACGGTGCTTTCTAACCCAGTCAAGGCCAGCTCACAACTCAGCCCTAGTTATGTGGCTGGATAATTCTTTTCCAAACACCATGTATTTGCAATTGTCGAGAAAAGAGGTTTAGCAGGGGCTGGTCTCATTAAAAGGGCTTTCCAAGACTCCCCCAAAGGTCCTGAAAGGTCTGAGTAAAAGCAAAGGCTTCATTCAGTCACCCCTTTCCCTGGTAACACAAGGCCTATAACAGGGACTGCGGTGTGGCGGGGACCTCAAGGCAGGCAGCCTGACTGCCTGGCAGGTGGGGGCCCCGGAGTGGCACCCAGGCCATTGGGGTGATGCCCAGAAAAGGCCAGATGCAGAATCAAGCAGGGACACACCCAGGCAGGGTCCCCTGGGTCCCCTAGAGTCACTTGGAGCAGGCTGGTGGGTCTGCGGCCTGGTGGTCTCCACCACAAGAGTAAAGGACAGTGAAAGTGGCA